CATGGACCTCACCAGATGGAACACACAGTAATCAAATTGACTATATCTGTGGGAAAAGACAGTGGAAAAGCTTGGCATTATTAGTCAAAACAAAGTCAGAGGCTGAGAGCAGAACAGATCATCAATTTAGAGACAATCTCAAAACATAAGCCATCAGATTAGACGCTAATGTCCACAGATGGAAAGAGTATGACAACAAGAACATTGTACAGAAGTAAAGCAAAGGGTTGTTCAAAAGACCAAAATGGATGTCAGAGAGTTCTGAAAGTTGCTCTCCAGTGTAGATATGCTAAAGCAAATGGGAGAAATGAGGAACTCAAAGAGTTCAACAGAACACATCAAAGGGGCAGCTCTAGAAGACAAAGTCAAGTCTTACATGAAATGTGCAAAGGCCTGGAGTTGCGAAACCAAAGGGAAGAACATGCTCAGTATTTCTCAAGCTGAAAGAACGGAAGAAAAAATTCAAGCCTTGATTTGCACTATTGAAGGATTCATGGGCAAACTACTGAAGGATGCAGAAAACATCAAAAGAAGATGGAAGGTGTACACAGAGTCACAGTAGTAACAAAAAGTAATGGTTAATGTTCAATCGTTTCCAGAGCTGATGGTCCTGAAGGAAGAGATCTAAGTTGCACTGAAGGCGCTGGTGAAAACAAGACTCCAGGAATTGAGGGGACACAAACAGACACCTTTCAACACACAGATGTGGCAATGGAGGCAATCACTCATCTATGCCCAGAAATTTGGTAGACTGCTAGCTGGCCAATCAGTTGAAACAGATCCATATTTGTGTTTATTCCAAAAAGAGGTAACCCAACTGAACAGGGAAATTATCAGACAATAGTATCAATATCACATGCAAGGAAAATTTTCCTGAAGATAATTCAAAAGTGGCTGCAACAGTCCATCGACAGAATCAGCAGCAATTTGAGCTAGATTCAGAAGAGGACATGGAACAAGGGCTATCATTGCTGATGTCGGGTGGATCCTGGCTGAAAGCAGAGAATAACAGAAAGATATTTTATTTACCTGTGCTTTATTGACTATGCAAAGGCTTTTGATTGTGTGGCTCACGAGAAGCTAAGGATAAGGAACGCTGTGACGAATGGGTACCCAGAACACTTCACTGTGCTCATGAGGAACCTGTCATAGACCAAGCTGCACTTGTTAGAACACACCAAGGACAATGAATGCTTTAAGATCAGGAGAGGTGTGAACAAAGTCGTTTGAACTGCAAGGCTGGCGGTTCAAGCTCACCAGCCGCTCCTTGGAAACCCTATACAGGGCGTTACTATGAGTCAGAACCAACCTGACAACCCTTAAGTACCACAATATTCAATCTGTACGATGAAAAACAATCCGAGAAGCTGGATTATAGGAAGAAGAAAGTGGCATCAGATTCACTGGAGGAAGAATCATTAAGAACCTGAGATATGCGGATGACACCACTTCGCTTGCTGGAAGCAAAAAACTCTTGAACTATTTACTGATGAAAATCCAAGGTGCACAAGCCTTCAGTATGGGCTGCCCCTCAAAGTCAAGAAAATGAAAATCCTCACAAATGGACCAATAATTATCATAGGCAGTTACCAGGGGTGGGAGCGAAAGGATAGTAATTCCCTGGTTAGAGGGCAGATGCGTGTTAACTTGGGTGATGGGGAAGGAAATATATAACAATACTATATATTGGAATAAAACAAGAAAGATGTAAAATTTTGTTGTAGGAAAAAAACTAAAATAAAAAATTACACAGAGAAAGACAGAGTTGTCAATTTCACTTCACTTGGCTCCACCACCAATGCTCATGGAAGCAGCATTCAGGAAAGCAAACACTTTGCACTGGGCACTGCTGCAAAGACCTCTTTGAAGTGTTCAAAAACAAAGATGTCAGCTTGAGGACCAAGGTCTACCTGACCCAAATTCATGGTACTTTCAACTGCTTCATATGCATGTAAGGGTTGGACAAGGAATAAGGAAAACCACAGACTTGATGCATTTGAGTTTTGATGTTGGGGAAGAACACTGTTATACCATGGACAAAGAAATCTGCCTTCGAAGAAGCACAGCCAGAACGCTCCTTAGACGCAAGCATGCTGAGACTCTTGTCTGTCATTCTTTGAACAGATTGTCAGGAGGGTTCAATCCCCAGAAAAGGACATCATGCTTGGTAAAAGAGAAGGTCAGCAAAAAAAAAGTTAGAGCCCCACCCCCCACCGTCCCATGAGATGGGCTGACACAGTGGCGGCAACAGTGGACTCAAACAGGACAAGAGTTGTGAGAAGGGCCCAGGACTGGGAAATGTTGTGTTGTGTTGTGCACATTAGTCACTATGACTCACAACCAACTCGATGGCACCTAACAACAAAAAAGAAAACGGATCTCAGATTGAGTCAAAGACAGAATGATAACATAAATTAACATGAAACGGATAAATGAAAATAAAACTATAGATGGGATGAAAGAGTTATTCCGTGTTGACAATTTCCAGGATCACTCATACATCTTACAGGATGGTCTTAAACATAAATTATCACAGGCATGCAAGAGGAGATGGGCAGATGAGAACCACAGCAAGAGACTCACGTTAAGGTTCTTAGAAACCAACAGAGCCAGCGGTGGAAATGAGTTAGCAAACAGATCTGCTGACTAGGAGGAACTGAGGGAGACTAGGTCTCAAGGGGACAAAGAACAATGTAACCAACCAGTAGAGAGGATACATTCTCTTCCAACAACAATGAAACAGTCCCCAAAACGGATCAAACAGCAGGAATACTGTTGGGCCTCAAAGCAGCAAAATTACAAAGTAATTCCTAACATTTAGCGGCCCCGCCCCAATCTACCCTCTTGGAAAAGTATCAAATGTATGTCCTGGTACTTGGAATCCCAGTGAGGTGATACAGCACTTAGAAATGAGCCGTAGTCACTTGCTGGAACATGTGAAGCTGACCCCGGTACGGCCACAGAGCTGGACAAGGGCAGTCAAGCTGCAGGTGGCAGGAAGCAAGACACTGCCAATGAACGTCCACTTCCATGGGCCGGGGCCAGAATAGCAGCAGCAACGTAACCAGGGAGAGCAGAGACAACAGGGTTAAAAGCCGGTCTTTCGGAAAGACGGAGCTCCTGACAAATTTAGGGCAATCTGACCAAGGGAAGTAGAGAGCGAAGCTGCCTGTTTTGGGCTGATGTTGAGGGTGAAGGAGGTGGTCAAATCCTTGATCACAGCACTGCTGACAAGACTAGAGTTGGAAAACTGGATCCCTGGTACTTAACTAAGGCTGTTCTTCCTCGAGTATGGATTTGGGAAGGGAGGATTATCAAGATTTTTGTGATCATGGTTGGTACACTAAGGGGCTATGGACACAAGGGTTTTCAGTGACTCCCATATCCAAGACGGGGTTCACTGAATGCTTCGGTAAGAGTCCCACTGTGGAACACTGGCCCAAGTGAAAGACACAGGACAGGACAATATTTACCAGAGAGAGAAAACAGACAGAAGATTACTAATGTCAATGAGTAAAGATTATCTTGTTGTTGTTAGGTGTCATGGAGCCGGTACCCACTCATAGCGACCCTATGCACAACAGAAGGAACACTGCTCAATCTAGAAACCCCTTTTTAAAAAAGGACTGCTCAGGAGTTCCCGGGTCGTACAGCTAGCCTGCTCAGTTGGTGACTGAAATGTTGAGGGTTTGAGTCCAGCCAGGGGTGCCTCAGAAGGCCTGCTTCCACAAAGTCAGCCATCAAAACCCTAAGAAGCAGTTTTACTCTGATACACATGGGGTCGGAGGAACACATGGGGTCGGAATAGACTACGGCAACTGACTGACCCTAACCCAAACCAGCACCTTTTACTCAAAACCACCACCACCACTTAACAGCACAATCAGAAGTACCCAGAACCACAGATGAGGCGCGTTCTACTCCTTATCGGTACAGATACAATGATATGAAGTAAAAAGCACAGAAAATCGTCTGAAACACACCAGATACCAAATAGCAACAACCAACCAAGTGGGAGGTGGGTGAGAAACGGGAGTCTGCGCAGTCTCGGCCTGTTGCTCTCCACAGTGCTGTACGTTTATAAAGGAGACAGCAGCCACTGGTGGTCAGGAGTTCACTTGAGGCCAACCCTCAACACTGGGGAGAAAGTCGCCCTGGGTCTCTTCTAACAGCTTACCTCTTGTTGATTCCTGTGCACATAAAGCCTTCATCACTCAGGGTGACTTGTGGGACAAGGCAGAGAGGTTACCCACTGCAAAGGGTAAGCAGCTACCCAGGGACCACCTACTGAACAGTCCAACCTGCCCCTGCCCCTGCCAGTGTGACCCACTCCCTACTGGAACTGGCCTTTCCAGCCCAGATGGAAGCAGAACCAGGTGATCCAGGGGGAGCTTGTTAAAATGTAGATTCGATTGAGTACAATGGGGGAAGGGGGGCAAAGTAAGGTGCCCTGTGGCACTGTGCTGTGGATCAGGCGCTGGGCTGCTAAACACAAGGTCAGCAGTTCAAACCTGCCAGTGCTCCAAGGGAGACCCATGCTTCCCTCAAGAACACAAAGCCCAGGACAGGGTTGCTGAAGTCGGAAGTGACCGACAATGGGCAGTGGGGTTAAGTACTCTCACGTGGATTCTGACTCCCAGTGACCCTGGAAGAGCTTTCTGAGGAACGGCTGGTGAGCTTGAACTGCGTACCTTACGGTTCAAACGGACTTTGCAGTCCAACACATTAACCTGCAGCGCCCCAAGTGGGTGGGGTGGTGGGTGAAAATACCAATTCTTAGCAAGGGATCAAGCAGGAAAGATCTGGTTCAAGGCTCTGGAAACACTGCCTTCTCCCCCCAAATCCCAGGTCCAGACCCCTCTGGCAGCCTGTCCACTCTCACCCAGGAAGCACCCCAGAGCCCACCTCACAGAGAGTAGGGTGGTCCTAGCGGGGGCGGGGGAGGGGGCAGACAGCAGCACAGAGCAGAGAGAGCAGGGGCTCAGGCCCCGGGCACTGACCAGAGCTGGGCAGCAGTAGGCCGTTGAGGTGTGGGGAGCTGGCCCGCTGCAGCTCGTCCAGCTTCTCCCGTAACTTGCGCAGCTGGCTGTCGGAGCGGCTGACCCTCTGACGCAGACTCTTCAGTTCCCCGTTCTTCTTCTCCACCTGCTCACGCAGGCAGCACACCTGGCTCTTGCTGGGCCGAGAGGAAAAGCAATAGGAATGCAGCGAATCGATGAGCCTGCAGGCCCCGGAGGCCGACAGGATGACCTCGTTGATGGACATGGCGCTGGGCACAGCCTCGGCGGCTGGCTGCGGGGTGACATCCGCTGGGGGCGCTGAGGGGCTTGGGGAGGACTTCTGCGGTGTGGCCGTGAGCGACGAGCTTGGGGGGCTGTGGGCTGAGCCTTTGTCAGGTCCGGGGCTGCTGCTGCTGGCGCTTGGCTCCACGTCCCTCCTGGGCCTCTTGCGGTCCCCGGGCTCCTTGGGGGCAGGCGGTCTCTCCCGGGAATGCCGGGAGGAGAAGCTGTACGAGTGGAGGGAGCCAATGAACCTGCAGGGCCCGGAGCCGGGGGGGCTGAAGTCGTCCACAGACATGGAGCTCTTCTCCTCCTGCTCATCCAGGGCATCGGCCTCACACTGGGTGCCCGGCCTGGCAGCAGCCCCGCTGTCTCCTAAAGGTCTCTCCAGAGATGCCTGCCCCTGGGCTGGACCAAGGCATTCGAGGTCAGCCCTGGCCGAGGCGGCCTCCCGCCCAGTCACCTGCTTCGGCTTCTTGGGCTCCAGCTTGGCCGCTGGGTCTTCGTTGGAGGACAGAGAGGCGCCTGCGCGCCCTTTCACGGCCCCTGGGGCTTTGTTGCGCTCCTTCCTACGGGTGCTGCCATGGCCTGTGACGCCCCGCTTTTCAGCCAGATGGAAGATGGAGGGCACTGCGGTGGGCTTGAGCAGTCGGTGCTGATCTTCCAGCCGGCGGGAGAAGCTGTCTTTGGTGAAGTGCTCACTGCAGAGGAAGGAGTACTTGGTGGGGGTCCAGTTGTCCCTCTGAACAGCTTTGAGCCATTGGAGTAAGCGCTTGGAATCCTTCAGGGGAAACCTGCCGGGAAAAGCGCAGTGTCAGGATGACCAACGGTCAACAAGAGCACAGCAGCCCACCCTGTGGCTGGTGCCCACCCATCCTACAGACCCCTACGGTTTAAGTCCCACTGTCTGCCCTTATGACGAAGGCGGATGGGTAGATATCCTAGGGGCACAAAACACTAGCGCAGACACAGGAAGCCCAGCTTCGGCCTTGATAGGTCCTACCCTGCCAGTGTGCCCAGCATGCCAGGCTTGGGGCTAAAGCCAGGGTCACCACCCAAACGGGGGTACTCGCCACAGGAGTGCCCTGCCCCTCCTCAAGGGCCCCAGGCACAGGCAGCCCCGGCTGCTTGGTCAGAGGAGAACGGATACAGCGGGGTCAGCACTCATTCATTCTGCTCCTTGACTGAATCCAAAGTGCTATGAACAATGTTGAGCAGCAGCTTCTCTCAGGTCCCCCACATCTGAACCACTTCCTCCATATTTAAGGAGCCCTCGGGTGCTAACTGAAAGGCCAGCAGTTCAAACCAACCAGCTACGCTGAAGGGAGGAAGAAATGGTGCACTGTTTCCAGAAGGCTCTCAGGCCTTGGAAGTAGTTCTGCTGTGACCAACAGGACCGCTCTGGGTCAGAACCGATTCGAGGGCAGTGCTTCTCCAAGACTGGTCTCGGCACCACTCCCTCCACTCCCAAGGCCAGGAAACACCCTTCGCCTCGGAGTGTGCGTGGTTTTCATCAACAGTTGTTGTTGTTACGTGCCGTGGAGTCGGTTCCGACTCATAGCGACCCTGTAAAGGGTTTCGGAGGTTGTCAATCTTTACGGGAGCAAAAGTCTCATCTTTCTCCCGCGGAACAGCTGGTAGATTCGAACTGCTGACCTTAAGGATCGCAGCCCGATTCGTAACCACTACGCCAGCAGAGCTCCAGTTCACCAACCGTAACGACAAGGAAAGCAGCATCCAGGGAAACGGTGGCCGAGCCCTGAAACCAGCGGCTGTTCCCTTTCAATAAGCACCAAGGTAAAGACTAAATCGCACACAGAATTACGTTTTGGAAACTTCAAAGCCGCTGCGGCGCATAAAACAAAACCAACTCGTTTTTAAAGTCCTGCAGGAGCCAGGGGTCCCGAGGCCGCCCAGGTGAGCGGTGGGAAGGAGGCCCGGCAGGTGCTGGCAGGTAGGCCTTCCCGGAGCCGGGCCGCCTACTCCCGGTGGTCCCGGTGGTCCCGGGCCGCACCCCACGCCGCGGGCCTCCAGGAGCCCTGTGGGCGTGTCCACGCACCAAGTGTCCACACCGAGGGCCACTGACCACTGGGCGGGTCGCACGGAAATACCGCGACCACGACCCCAACGGAGGTCGGGCCGGGGGTCTCCGCGCAGGGACTCGCGGTGGACGGTCCGCCAGGTCGGGCACCAGGGGTCGCGGTGATCGAGCCGGGGGAGGGGGCGCTGCGGGTGGACGGCGGGTCCGCGCGGCCCGGAGACCCGGCCGGCCAAGGTCACGCGGCGCTGCAGCCCGCTGACTCACGCGGCGGGCCGCGAGGCCCCGCACGGCGCGCGCTGGGGCCCGGGCCTCAGTTTCCCCGCGGGGGCGTGGCCGGGCCGCGGGAGCTCACCTGTGGAAGGAGACGGCGCGCTTCTCCCCCTTGCCCTGACGGTTGGAGCAGTTCACGGCCGCGCAGCAGATCACCATCTCGGACCCGGACGCTGTCGCCGGCCGCCGCGAGGCCCCGGCCCTCGCTCCGAGCCGCCCGCGGACCGCCCTGAGGGAGGGACGCGGCGCGGGACGTGGAGCCGGCGCGGCGGCGTCCTCCGTACGGCAAGATGGTGGCGCGCAGCCTGGAACCGACAACTGCGCCGCGTCTGCGGCCCCTCGGCGCCCTCGGGTAAGTTGCCGAGGGCGACGGAGTCGGAAGCGCGTCGGAGCGTCTGGCGGGTGAGCGAAGGCTCCGTCCCCGGGACGGGGCGATTCCGTACGGCGACATGGGCGCGCCGGAGCCCGTCCGTACAGCAAGATGGCCGCACAGGCCGGAGCTCCGCTGTCGAGGCCGGCCAGCTCCCTGAGCGGCGCGACGCGGAGCGGACCGTTCAGCAGGTTCTTTGGTCTCCTGGACTTCTCCCTGTGGTCCCGTGAACGAGTGAGGTGTTGTGTGCGGCGCGCAGAGAGCTGAGAGACGGCTCAGGTCGCTCTCACATTGGTATCGCCCCGCAATGCGTCCCCACGCAGCCTGGTCAGGGCTCGAACGACGGCCTGGGCCGTACGCCAAGATGGCGGCGCCCGGCGCGTCCTTCCGGTCCCTGCCGGATTCTCGCGTCGCCTGCCCGACGCTGGGTCCCGATTGGCCCCGGAGGCGCCCCGTCGCCGCGTCGCGCTGCGGGCCCGTCGGAGCGACGCCGCCAAGGGTCAGTCGGCGGCCGGAGAGGGAAGATGGACGCAGGTGAGGAATTGCCCGGTGCCGAGACCCCGTGGGAGGCAGGCACCCGCCTTGCCACTCGGTCTCCGCTCCGAAGCCGCCGCCCGGGGGCCGCGCCGCCCGGGCCACTTAGCTCTCCCTCCGGCGACCTGCCCGGCGCGGCCTGGGCTCCGGGCCGCGGGGACGCTGACGCCGCCCCCTCTGTCACGCCGGGGCCGGGGGCACCTAGGTGGCCGCCTGACTTGCTTGTCGTCAGAGCCGTTGGGGTCGTTGTGTGAGGCGTGGGGAGGAGACCCTGCCTACCTTGTGCGGCCGGGTGCTTTGGGGCCTGGGGTGGTCCCGAGCCATCGCTCTCGGCCTCCGCCCACCGGCCGTGCTGGGCTGCAGCGGCTGTGAGTGAGGCCGGGACTCACACCCCGGCCCCGCGGAGCTGGACCTGTGCCGCGGCTCCTACGTTCGGGGCGCCCGGAGGGGCTTGGTGAAGGTGGCTGCTGGGGCCGGCTGGTAGAAGGTGGACGTTTGGCTGCGGGGATGGATGTCGGGAGTCCAACTGGGACTCCCCATTGTCGGGGGCACGGGGACTGCACTAGAGGGTCGCCGTTGGGCTGCGAGGCCAGCCCCGGGGAGGCGTCACCCGATGGCAGGCGGCAGGACAGCGGGTGAGGAAGATGGACGTGTCGGCTTCGCACTGAAGCGGGCTGGACAGCTGAAGAGGGCAGCACGTTAGCTGTCCGGGCTGAAAGGCAAGCGGCAGGGGCAGCCCTGGTTGGAGCCGAGTCGTCAGAAGCGTGGTGGACACGGGTCTGGTGTGCGGGGTGGGCAGAAGCTGGGTCCCCGCGGCTGTGTCCACGCTGCTGGCCCTGCCGTCAGCCCCGGGGGGATTGAAATGCAAACCCATCCTCGCAAGCACGGTGCTCGAAAGGGACTGGCTCTCTTCTCACCTCGTGATGTCCAGTAGAGGACGTGGGCACAGCCCAGAGGCCATGCCTGTCAAGCCAGGTGCCGCAGGGGACAGCCCCTCAAAGAAGAGGACCCCATGTGGGGCGGGTGGAGCCGCCGCATTCATTTCCCCGAGACGGGAGTGAGTGTCACTGAGGGGACAAGCACAAGTGGGCTTGAGTGTGGGCCATCTGTAGCTGATGGGAAAGAGAAGGGGGCTCCATCGGGTCTCCTGGGGGGCTGGCGGAGCCTCGCTGAGCAGAGGGGGGACAAGGTGGGGTGGCGTGGGTGGTCCTCCAGCAGCTATAGGAGGTTGAGGGGTGGGAGGGGGCTCGGTGGGCCAGGGAGCCCACCTTCCTTGGATTCTCCTCGGCGGAGAGGGCGGCGGGGCTGCTGCCTGTCTGGGTGATGTCTTTGAGGCTCCCTCCCAGACGCCTCTGGTCACCCTGTGGGCTGCTTCCCTCTGAAGCTGGCGTCCTGGCCTGTAAAGTGCTGCCCCTCCCAGGCCTCCTGACTGCACCATTAGCGTCCTTCCTTTCCTGCTTGGCCTGTTCACGGTCTTTGGTCTTTATTGTTGTTACTCGGCCTCATCTCGGCGGTAGCACTCTGGCTGTCCCGGGAGTGTCTCCCACAGCTCGCCTGTGTCCCTAGTTCTGTCCTGGCAGCAGTAGTGTCCACCTCCAAGAAGGCTGCCTGAAAGCCAGGCCCTTGAGTCTGCACGGTAACCTAGTGTGGAGGGCACAGGAAGGCAGTGGCTTATGGAGGCTGCGGGTGACCAGGGGAGGCAGCAGAGACATCACGGTGTCGGAAGTGCCCCATACTCCAGCTCCTTGGAAGGACAGCCGTGCCTTTCAGTTCTTTCCAGCTTGTGCACGTGGCGGGGAGAGAAGGCCTGGACAGGGTGGGTGTTTACTCAAGGGTCTGTGTGGACCGTACTGTGTGCAGACAGCTGAGCTTAGAGCCGAGCAGCTGGATGTTACCACACATTCAACTCAGGCCCTGCCCAGCCCTGCCTGCCTTTGTGCCAGCCACTGTGCCCAGCCTTCACTTGATGGTCAAGGATGCCCATTGACCCAGGCCCCTCCTGCTGGCCCAGTGAATGTACTTCACAGATGGACCCAAGGCCTCGTCTGTCCCCTGAAGATCAGGGGACTGGCCCGGGGCAGGTGTCACACCTGCTCGTAGGGAGAGGCCTTCTTGCCAAGGAGGTTTCTGGTGGCTCTTAGTGAGGATCACGGTATCCACGTGTTCCTGTTTTGGTTAAGTGGTGTCAAGTCACTTCCGACTCATAGTGACCCTGTATGGGCTTTCCGAGGAGTGGCTAGTGGATTTGAACCGCTGACCTTGTGGTTGACGGTCTAGTACTTACTTATCCTACTGTGCCACACCAGGACACCTCCTTATAATCCGCATGTCACTTTTACCAAAAAGTGGAGCTCTGTTAGAAATCAGAGTGGGAGACACTCAGATTTTCTCCAGTGACAAGAAGTGCGCCTCGGGGGCTTGTCAGAGGGGTCGGAGAGACGGCCCTCTTCTCTAGGAACAATTGGAGGAGGAGCTCCGAGGTCGGGAGGGCTGCCGAAACCAGGACAGGAGGCGCTGGCTTCTTCCCAGCATGCATTTGGGGCCTCTGACTTTCCCACCAGGAATAGCTCAGGCGTCCCCTTCAGTTAGTGTACCCCCAACTATAGAATCACATGGGGGGGGGGGCAGACAGACGCAGAGCCGTTAGAGTGCCCCACCCTGCCTGCTTCACGTGCTTGGCACACAAACACACTTCCGTCTTATTTTTGTCCTTCAGGTGTTAAATGTGTTCAGTCTAAAATGGCCAAGTGCTCAAATGTGGTGGTTTGTTAGCACATGTGTCCTCTGGTGCTGACCTCTAGGCTCAGAAAAGTAGAGGGCCCCGGCCCCACCCACGTTGTGGATGTCTGGTGCGTGTCTCCCTCCGGAATCCAGGGAAATGTCATGAATCTGACCGATGTGTGTCTGCTTCCAGCTACTCTGACCTACGACACTCTCAGGTTTGCCGACTTTGAAGATTTCCCCGAGACCTCGGAGCCAGTTTGGATCCTGGGAAGAAAATACAGCGTGTTCACAGGTGCCTGCTCTGTCAGGGGACTCTGTACTGGCCTTCAGGGTCTGTGGGGGCTCAAGTAGAATTCCCACCTTCCATGGGGGGAGGCCTGGCCAGGACACCTCATGTGAAGCCACCAGCTGCCTGCTGTGATGCTGAACAACCAGAGTAAGAGAGCCTAGGAATAAAGGTCTGGCAAACTGAAACGCTGGGGGTCAGAGTGGTCCCAGTACACATGGGCGTGGACGTGGAGCTTAGCTCTTCTGTAAAATGGGATGTGCATATGTTTTCTTCTCCACATCTCTAGAAAAGGATGAGATCTTGTCTGACGTGGCCTCAAGACTGTGGTTTACGTACAGGAAAAACTTCCCAGCCATCGGTAAGGACCCTGTCTTGGTGTGACAGGTAACAGTGTCAGTGTCTCAGGAAGGAGAACCAGGGACATCTGTAGGTTTGGCTCCTGTGTATGAGATGCCCAGCACTTTCCTGACCCTCACAGCAGCCCCGGCTCAGCAGGCCAGCCGGGTCTCCATGCAGGACGATGCTTGTTCCCAGGCCCAGGAGGCGGGATGGGAACCCTCTGTGGAAGCCACACAGTGGCATGTCACTGGCTCTGATGTGGCTCTGGGTTGGTCCGGCCCCAATCATGTCTGTGAACCACCCGACCATGCACGTCTCTTGTCACCATGGCAGGGGGGACAGGCCCCACGTCGGACACAGGCTGGGGCTGTATGCTGCGCTGTGGACAGATGATCTTCGCCCAGGCTCTGCTGTGCCGGCACCTGGGCCGAGGTGAGTTCTAAGGGCCCTCCTTACACCGCCGATCCTGCTGTCTGGGGAGTCGGCTGGCTTGGGGACACTTGGTATCCCTAGTCTGTAAGTGGGAGGCCAAGACGTGTGTGTTCCTCCCACAGACTGGAGGTGGGCTCGGCGCAGGAGGCAGCCGGACAGCTACTTCAGTGTCCTCCACGCCTTCCTGGACAGGAAGGACAGTTACTACTCCATCCACCAGATAGGTGAGCAGCGGCTGTGAGCGTGGGGGTGAGGGTGGCCTGTGAAGACGAACACCCCCTTCCCCGGCTGGCTTCTGCTCTAGGGCCCTTCATTTCCTCCCTCTCCTCCTGCTACAGCTGGGAGGGAGGGCCAGTGGGCAGCGCTGACCTCTTTCTGTCTCTGCAGCGCAAATGGGAGTTGGTGAGGGCAAGTCTATCGGCCAGTGGTACGGCCCCAACACCGTCGCCCAAGTCCTCAAGTAGGTGCCACTGTCCCCCCGGGGGGGCTGGGCCGGGCGGCCTTTCGGCACTGGTCCCCTCCCTGGGGACAACCCTCCCTCTCTACTCTTCTTCCTGGCCAGCCTTCTGCCTCCTTCCCTCTCCCAAGCCCCATCTAGTCCTGAGATGGCTTCTCAGCCCCCCATGTCCTTGCTCCCTTACCCCGGAGGCCCACTCCTTGTCCGAGTGTGTCCTCACTCAGGGCTTCTGAAACCTCACTCCTGCCTCCTGGATGCTCCCCACAGCCCCTACCCTGTGCTTTCAGAGTCCTCCCCCAGCCCCCAGCAGCACTGCCCCTCACTGCACGGTTGCCGCCGCCCTGTGTGTTGGCCGTGGGGCTGACCGCTGTGTGGTTTCCCACAGGAAACTAGCTGTGTTTGACACGTGGAGCTCCCTGGCCGTCCACATCGCCATGGACAACACGGTGGTCATGGACGAAATCAGTTAAGTCGCCAAGATTCCAGGAGAAATCGCAGGTCATGGAACTCGGGAGGAACCAGGGTGGACCTGTGAGCCCCTCCGACACAGGACTGGGGGTAGGGGATGTCACTTGTACCTAGTCCCACAGGGACACCAGGAGGAAAGCTATTTGGGGAGTTGGAAGCTGTTTCTGACAGAGACTTGAGGCTGGGCAGGGCCCCTAGGGGCTGCCTGGCTTGCTGTCCGAGTACCTCGTCTGGAGAAGCAAGGGAGGAAGCCAAAGTGTTGGCCACTCTTGCTGAGGAGGGCCCGGGCCTAGCACCTGCCTCCACTGTAGCTGGTGGGCCCGTGGGGCCTTGTTTTCCACGTCTGGAGAGTTCTCACGCTGCCACGTGTGCATCTCTGTTCACTGTAACCACGGCAACAGGTGTCTGGACTCCTCTCTCTGGGGAGTGGACCTCAGGGTTCCCACTTTCCAAAGGGCACTGTGTCTGAGAGCATGGACATGTCTCCACACAGGACGGCTATGCCGGAGCAGCCCTCCCTGCACCACGGCCGCAGCCCACTCTGCTGACCCCAGCCCACACTGCAATGGGCTGCCAGGCGCAGGCGCAGCGGCCCCGTGGAGACCCCTGGTGCTGCTCATCCCACTGCGCCTGGGGCTCACAGACATCAACGAGGCCTACGTGGAGACGCTCAAGGTGGGGCTGTTTCTGACCCCACCCCAGCCCTGGTGCCCACGGGAGAGCCCGGAGCTCAGGCCAGTGGGGAGCATGGCTGTCCCCGGCCCAGACAGACCGTAGTTGAGATGAGCTGGAGAACCAAGGGTGGCATTTCCTTCTGAGGGGCTGTCACTGTGGCCTCCCCTGTCCTCGTCATGCTTTCGGGGCTCTAGGAGACCCCCTGGATCTAGCTGCCTTCCTGCCCCAGCCCTGACTCCTGGGGACCCGCCTTTCTGCTCTCTCGCCTGTCTTCCCAATGCCCTGTGCTGTTCTCAGTGACCTTGTTCCCACAGCACTGCTTCCGGGCACCCCAGTCCTTGGGCGTGATCGGAGGGAAACCCAACAGTGCCCACTACTTCATCGGCTACGTCGGTGAGTGGCTGCAGAGATGGCCCCCGCTGAGGGTCTGCTGGCCACCAGTGGCCATGGACAGGCCTGACCCCGTCCTGGTTTGCAGGTGAGGAGCTCATTTACCTGGACCCGCACACCACTCAGCCTGCCGTGGAGCTCGTGGATCCCTGCAGCATCCCCGACGAGAGTTTCCACTGCCAGCACCCACCCTGCCGCATGAACATCGCTGAGCTGGACCCGTCCATTGCCGTGGTAGGCCTGTGTCCAGTGACTCTCGTGTGAGGCTGCCCCCCATCTGCCCTGAGCTGGGGGACCCTGCCGTCTCTCCAGTCAGCAGGTGTAATGACTGCCTGCCTTGTACGCAGTCCCCCTCGAGTCGGCTGTGGCAGAGGGGGGTGGTCACGTGATGGAAGAAGTCGGGAAGCGGGACACCCACCCCCAGCCAGAGGAGGAGTGTCCACCTTGGACACCCCCCCAAGGTGTCAGGAGTTGGCCGTGCCCTGGGAGGGAGCCGGGTTTTAGGTGCTCACCTGTGTCCATGCGCTTGTGGACATTGTGCTGTCCCAGGGCTTTTTCTGCAAGACCGAGGAAGACTTCGACGACTGGTGCCAGCAAGTCAAGAAGGTTTGTGGTTGGCTGGACTCTATGCTCACTGACCGCGGGGCTGGGGGATCACCGTTCGAGGTGGCACTGGTGGTGGTGGCTGGCTGGGCCCTGACAGGCCGTCTCCCATCTCCCTCAGCTGCCGCTGCTGTCAGGCGCCCTGCCCATGTTCGAGCTGGTGGAACAGCAGCCCTCACACCTGGCCTGCCCTGACGTCCTGAACCTCTCTCTGGGTGAGTGTTTCCACAGGCTTCCCTGTGTCCACACCCTGGGCCCTGCTCCCTTCTGCTCTGTGCTGGATGCGTGTGGGCACAGTGACTCCCATCAGGAAGGAGCGGGCCAGCAGACCTTGTACACAGACATGGTGAGCACGTAGCTTGGCACCTTATAAACTCTCCCTCCTTGTACCGGGAGTTGTGCTGACTTGTGCCCACCACGCTCCTGCTTGTCTCTCCACGTCCATTCTGGGGTCCGGGGCCCCTCTAGCTTGTCCTCAGCACCCTGCACTGTTGGAGGCTCCAGGTCAGACCAGCATTGCCCTGTCTCTTCTAGATGCTTCCGACGTAGAACGACTGGAAAGGTTCTTTGACTCAGAAGATGAAGAATTTGAAATCTTGTCCCTTTGAGGACCAGGGTTGGGATGGACTCGGCTGGCCCTCAGGGGCCTAGTGCCCACATTTCCTCCATCCCAGCCTGCCCACCTGCTGAGGGTGAGAGCTGGGTCCGGCGCTCGAGTCAGGAGCCTTCAGCCAGTACCCTCGCAGGCCAGCCCAGTGCCCCTGGCTGAGGCCGCGGGTGCAGCCGCAGAACAGAGCTGGTGGCCACACTCCCGGAAGCTTCTCCTCCCGACACTGCCAGCTCTGCATTTGCCCACCGGCTTTCTTCCGCGTCCTCCTGGCGACTTGCTCGGGAATTAAAGTCCTGTTTGAAGTGACTCCACCCGGACATGGATTTATGTTGGGTGTGACCCACACCAGTGTCCTGGAGCCTGCTCTGACACATCACTAAGGCTACCTCAGCAAGGCCGGAGGGTTCGCCTTGTGAGGGTGGGGGCGGGCACCCTGACAGGGCCAGCTGTTTGCCTGGGGTGGCACAAGGGCTGCATTCCGGGGAAGGGACCAGTAGAATGCCCCCGTCCTGTGTCCTCAGAGCCACCTTCCCAGGTCACTGCAGGTTACAGTGACCTGGGGCCTCTGACAGAAGACAGATGAGCTATGCCTATCCCCGCCTCAGGGCCAGGCTGACCCCCTCCACACACAGCCTGTCTCAGAGGAGCCCCATTTCCAGCCCTGCCCTAAGTCCTGTAGGATCCACCACTGTGGTTGCTCATGAGGGGACAAGGGGGCACCCCCTGGTCTGAGTGAGCAGATGATGCCCAGGTCTGTCGCTTTCCTTGCCCTTAACCGCAGACATTTCTCGGGGAAGGAGGGTAGAGGGGGCCGGTTCCATTGTCGCTGCTCTTCTGGAAACCAGGCCTGCTGCTGGAGTGGGCGGCAAGTGGCGGGGGACAGGGGGGCCCCTGGACAAGCAAGGCAACCGAGGGAGAGTTGGGTCTCCTGTGGGAATTTTTTTTTTTAATGACAGGCTTACTGAGGAGAATGGTGTTCATTCTTGGTAGTATAGTTTGCAATTCTTAATGGCAAATAAGAACAGTTTCGGTAGAAAACAATCAGCGTGTCTTGATTCTTTTCTTGAATGTATATGGCGCTGTAAGAGACGCAGTGGACCACAAGGTCAGCAGTTGACACTCACCAGCTGCTCCTTGGAATCCCTGTACAGGGTCACTACGCTGGAACCAACTACACGGCACTACACAGGATGATTTCCAGATAAAAACAAAACTGGATGTTTTATGAGGTCACGTCACAAAAGTTCTGAGGAAACCTGAGTGATGTGTGTGCTGAGGAACAGGTGGCTGCAGACCCACACCAGAACTGTCCACCCCCCAGGGATGACAGTGTAGGAGAGCAGGCGGCATGTGAGCTGCACTGGGATGGGGGAAGAAGAGCCCTGGAGGCCTGGCAGGGTGGGCTCTCACCACACCCTTGGCATGGATGGAGACTGGGGAAGGATGGACCGCACCAGGTGACGCCAAAATGGGCAGCTTTAGCAAGAATTGACTACTTAATAAAAATATCCCTGTAGTTAGTTAGAACAAAAACATTTCATAAGCCCAGCTTAGGTCTTAATACACCACAGAGCTGAAACTCTCTTTCCTTTTGAAGCTTCTAATGTGCTCTGGTCACAACTGTCATTGTTAGTGAATTCCAATGAGGCTTCAAGTCATGGCCATGTGTGCACAAGCGACAAGCACTGTGCAGCTGATTCGGTCCAATTTTCCAGTGTTTTATATACGATACTGTGGTAACTTCTAGTTGGGAACCTCTATCACTTTTTTGAGAATGAAAAGGTTTCTACTTAGTTACTAGTTAATACAATAAAACAACTTTGTTTTTAGTATTCATATCTAAGAAATACTTCATTTAAGTAATTTACAATTATATTACTGATTACAATTGATATTTCAAAGGATTCTGCCTGGTCTGGTAATGGGGGATGGATGGGCCACCATGTGTTTCCACACTGAGATGGAAGGAGGCTCGTTGGGAGCGTGAGATACCGTTTCCAAACTGGGATGGGAGGAGGCGCCTGGGGGCTGGGCAGGTGACACCAGCCCCAGTGACACCCCTGATCTGAGGCAGAAGGCTGCTTCCTTATGGAAATTCCCTATCGCCCTCAGCTGCAGGAGCTGAAGAGCCCAAGATCAGCAGTATGGCAGGTCGCCGGTTCAAGCAAAAGAGCCAGTGGTCACATGACAAGCCAGATGCAGGATCAGAGCGAAAGCAAGTTTTGTCCATGTAGCCCATCTATAGGAAGCAGACCACACCAAGGAAACCCTTTGAAATGACTGGCTGCTAACAGCATACCTCATCGTGGAAGTGATCACGTGACATCTCCTGACAGAGGCAATCACCTCCATCAGATGTGACGGAGGTCTCCTCATGGGGAATCGCTGTCATACTGTCACATTACTGCGAAAACGGGCCCAGGCAAGTTGAACACACAACTATCATACCCACCATGCCACCAGGGCTCAAGTAAGGGACACACAAGATCTGATGACACCCATTTCCATATGTGCCCACGTCCGATTGCTCACCATAGATAAGCAAGTGTGCCCCTTCTGCAATGTACCCGCTTACCCAGTGACCTGGCCCTGCCTCTGCCCTCCACATAGCAGCCTCTGTGATGGGAGGGTCATCCACAGGACCTGCATGAGGACACCACACCTGAGGGAGCAGGCCAGGGGCCAACGAAGGCTGGGGCTCCTGGGGAATGAGCACGGCTGGCTTGGGAATGTGATCTCAAAAAAGGCTGCCCTGGGCCCCCTCCTCACACCTTCTACCTTCCCTGGACCCCCTCTTCACACCTTCTACCTGCCCTGGGCCCCTCCTCACACCTTCTACCTGCCCTGGGCCCCCTCCTCACCCCTTCTGCCTGCCCTGGGCCCCCTCCTCATACCTTCTGCCTGCCCTGGGCCCCCTCCTCACCCCTTCCTTCTGCCCTGGGCCCCCTCCTCACCCCTTCTGCCTGCCCTGGGCCCCCTCCTCACACCTTCTGCCTGCCCTGGGCCCCTCCTCACACCTTCTACCTTCCCTGGATCCCCTCCTCACCCCTTCCTTCTGCCCTGGGTCCCCTCCTCACACCTTCTGCCTGCCCTGGGCCCCCTCCTCACACATTCTGCCTGCCCTGGGCCCCCACCTCACACCTTCTACCTGCCCTGGGCCCCCTCCTCACACCTTCTACCTGCCCTGGGCCCCCTCCTTACCCCTTCCTTCTGCCCTGGGCCCCCTCCCCACACCTTCCTTCTGCTCTGGGCCCCTCCTTACCCCTTCCTTCTGCCCTGGGCCCCCTCCTCACCACTTCCTTCTGCCCTGGGCCCCTCCTCACCCCTTCTGCATGCCCCTGCATTCCTGGTAGATACTCACAGCCCATTTCCAGATCCAGTGAACCTTTGTCCTCCTCCACTGCCTTGGGTGTGGGAAAGGGCGGTGTTGCTTGCCCCCTCCCCTCTGCGGCCTTCCCCTGGCTCCCCAACATCGCTGAGTCTCATCTTAAACCATCTTTCCTGACCCCAGGGCAGCCACTCTGCGTCATGGTTCGCTGAAGGTAGGGTGGCCTGGTCATCCCTCCTGGCACAGCTATGCCAAGCAGCAGCCTGGTCCTATCTGCTGACCACTACCTACCACAGTCCCATGGGGGCCCTGCTCACCCTCCCTGTCCCACATCCCACATCCTTGGTCTCACCCCAGCCCTTCCTCCTCTGTCCAGAACCTCCACCAGGTGGCTCCAGTAGCCATTGGTGCCCACGGCCCTCACAGGTGGTTGGGACTCGCAGTGGCAGCTGAAGCAAAGGACCAGCAACAGGACACACAAGCCTCGAGGTGGGAAAAGAGTTTCCAGCCAGACTGCAGCAGGCAATGCCCTGCAGACAAACAATCAGCCCCCTGGGCAGGACACAAGGACACTCAGCCCGCTTTGTGTCCACACCTCCCTTGGCTACAAGCAGACGGCTGCTGCCCAGCCCTGCAGGCCAGGAGGTGTCCTCTGAGGCCCAGGCAGCCCCGGCTGCAGACAGAACAGTCATCCCTGTCATGGCGGCCGGAGCCCGGCGCTGCTCTGAGCTGCACTCTTCACATGATGGAACAGCTGCTCCCAGGACCAGGCCTGAGACACGGGAGTGTCTGGGCCTAGGCTGGGAGCAGCTTTCCCCAGACACGGTTCCGAGATGCACTGAGCTAGCTGAGCGCCACCTGAGGTGACCATGGTGAAAGGGCTCACACGTGGCTCCCGCTGAGTTCCAGACAAATACAGGTTTATTAGGGTCTCCGGGAAAACGGGTGGAAAAGTAAGCACAGGCACCCGACCTCACCCACGCTCTTGTCCTACTGCCCCCCTACCCACAGCCGAGTCCACCTGTCTCCTCTGCCGGCGCACACGTGTGGGTGGTCACTGGAGTCGTGGCAGGTCTCAGCTCCTCAGCAGAAAGGCAGGCACGGGGCCCCTACATCCATAGGCGGCCCAATGGTCTGTGTGCAGCATCCTGAATGGTGGCCTCAGACAGGGCGCAGATCTCCTCGTGGACATCCTCAATGCTCCTGGAGGCATCCACGGTCTGCTCTCACCAGCACAACAGGGAGAAGAGCTTGTTAGCTCCTTGGGGAGAGGCCCAACTGGACCTCCACCCTGAGCCTGCACAAGAGTGAGGACCCTCTGGCTTCTACAAAGTACCACCCACCAGTCATCTCAGGGTTGCCATGGATACTGTCTGATGAGACCAAGCAAGCTTGGGTCTAGACCTTCAGTTCTTGGGCTGGAGAGCACACAGGAAGAGGCCGGACCCCACAGCCCCAGGGAGAGGGGAGGAAGAGTTCATTTATAACCTGTCTGGGCACCCCACCTGCCGAGCCAACAGGTCTTAGGAAGCTCAGCCCACAACAGTGTGAGGCAGGCCTAGGGCCAAACACAAGCAACCTGGAGAAAAAAGGTGGCGGGACACCCCCACAGGGCCTCCCTGGGCAGAAGCCAAGTGCCCAACACAGAACGTTCCCTGCAGTGCCAGGAGCTGTCCACATGGCGACCGATGATGCCCAGAGCCTCACCTTCCAGTCCAGGCTCGGTTCCTGCATGAGCTGCTGGAAGCAGCGCAGGGCACTCTCCTGGAAGGCCTTATCCTCATAGCGCTCCTGGCCAAACCCACCGCGCCGCATGGCGTCCACCAGCTGCAGCTGCAGGAACAGGACCAGGTCCGGTCTGGGGAGGCCCACGTCCGGCTGCTTGCACCACTCCAGGGAGAAGTTCTGTTGGGGGAATTCACACTCAGAGGCAGGCAGCATGCTGGCTTTTGTCATAAAAGGGAACAAGTGAGCACTTGTGGAAGGTACAAGCAGAGAAAAGGCACAGTAGGGACCCTTCCATGTTTTAACTGGAGATCTGAAAGGTCTGCTCTTGCTCACATTTTAAAAAGACAACTTTGGAATATAACCAGAGAATGCATCTGTATCAAAAAGAAATAGTCAATGTTCAACCATTTCAAGAAGTAGCACATGATCAAGAGCCAATGAAAACCAAAAGGCAAGGACACGCTCAGCATTTCTCAAGCTGAAAGAACTGAAAAAAAATCCAAGCTTCAACTTGCAATATTGAAGCATTCTATGAGCAAAATACTGACTGGTACAGAAAGCATCAAACGAAGATTGCTCCTGCATTGCTGCTGGGACTGCAAACTGGTCCAACCACTCTAGAAAGCAGTATGGCACTTCCTCAGAAGGTTGGAAATACAAATAAAATACCTTATGATCCAGCAATTCCTCTACTTGGTATTTACCCACAAGAAATATGAGCCATAACATGAGAAGATATATGCACACCAATGTTCACAGAAGCATTATATACAATAGGAAAGTGTCTATCAACTGAAGAATGGATAAACAAACTGTGGTACATACACACAATGGAATATTATGCTACCTTGAAGAATAACAAGGAAGCTGCATGCCACAGCACAACATGGATGAACCTTGAGGACATTCTGCTGAGTGAAATGAGTCAGTCACAAAAGGAGAAATACTGCATAGGACCACTGCTGTGAATTTTACACAATTTACACTTGTTTATTCTTTCAAAAAAAAAATGTTTTTTATCTTCTTCTAGTCACGTTCTGATCATCAAACCATCAAACTTAGGTCAAATGGGTGCTATCTACAAGTGTGGGTGTTCTTGTGCATCGCCCCTCACTGCATATCAGCTGGACGCTTCACTCTCCACTATAGTCCTCTATGGCTACGTCACTGACTCTGGGCCATAGAGTCCCCAGGTCTTGCCACCCTAACCCTAAAAAAAAAAAATTTTTTTTGAAAGAATAGACAAGTGTAAATTGCTACAATTTGATGAACTTGACCTATACTTACGGATTTAGTAACTCAAAATATCAACTGAGAGAGAAGGAATCTTCATTTCAAGTATCAATGCTATCTCCTCTGTATACAGGGTAGATAGAGACGGGCAATTTAGACATTGGCTACCTAAAACGGAAGGGCTATAAAGGCAAGAAGTGACTGGCTTACAAGTTTTCCAGAGGGAGTTTAGTTTCAGATTATTCAGGGGAAGGCAGAACGCCTACTGAATAGTTTTCATCTTGTGTAGACGGATCCGGTGAAAGGAGATGAGGATAAGATTCTTACGATTCAATAGTAACTGTTATCATGACTAATTGTGACTGTCACAATTGTAAAGTTAGAAGTTTTGTAACAAAAAGGAGGAGTAGTTAATCTTAGGAGTTCTGGTGTGGCGCTGTGGGTTAACGTGCCAGACTGCAAAGCTGTTTGAACTGCAAGGTCAGCAGTTCAAGCTCACCAGCTCCTCCTCGGAAACCCTATACAGGGTCGCTATGGGTCGGAACTGACTCAACAGCATTTCACAACAACAACAAGTTAATCTTATAGTCCAGGCACAGAGAATCCTAGGACCATCACGGGAGAAGAGCACGAGCAGAATGTGGGACCCTATCCAGAGAAGCAGCGACGCCAGAGATAAAGGCAGAGATGAGGACATGGAGAGAGGGAGCAGCTGAGGACTCGAGACTCAGGGAAAGAGAAAGGTTGTGTGCTAGCAGCCAGGAGGCAGGCTTGCAGAATGTGCCCTTTGATTGTTTAAGTGGTTACATATTCTTGAGTTTTTTTGTACCCCCCTCCCCCCCAAAAAAAAATACCACACACAAAAAATAGAGGGAATAGAAGCAAATACTGTTGAATGATGATGCAGAGGAGATTGTAATCATTGGAATGAAACGAATGTAAAACTGATGTTCTCCCTTGTAAACTATCACTCAATTCACAATTTAAAAAAAAAGTTGGCTACTTAAAATTAAAATGTTCAAATCAATTAAAAAAAAAGAAAACTAAAAAAAACCAAGGCTGCAGAAACTGATGAAATACATTTTAAAACCTTTCAACAAACTGATGTGGCACTGGATGCACTGACTCATCCATGCCAAATGTGGAAGATAGCTACCTCGCCAACTGATGAGAAGAGATCCATATTTGTGCTTATTGCATAGGGAGGTGACCCAACGGAATGCAGAAATCAGACAGTATCATTAATATCAAATGCAAGTAAAATTCTGATAAAGATAATTAAATGTATGCAACCATACACTGACAGGAAATTGACAGATGTTCAAGCCGGATTCAGCTGAGGACATGGAATGAGGGATATCATTGCTGATGTCCGATGGATCTTTGCTGAAAGCAGAGAATATCAGAAAGATGCTTACCTGTGCTTCAATGACTACGAAAAGGCTTTCGATTATGTGGCTCATGACCAGTTATGGACAACATTGTGGAGAATGAGTATTCCAGAACACTTACTTGTGCTCATGAGAAACCTGTATATATAGACCAAGAGGCAGTTGTTCAAACAGAACAAGGAAACACTGAATGGTTTGAAATTAGGAAAGGTGTGCACCAGGGTAGTATTCTTACACTATACTTATTCAAATCTGTATGCTGAGGACATAACCCCAGAAGCTGGATTTTATGAAGGAAAATGTGGCATCAGGATTAGAGGAAGACTCATTAACAACTTAACCATATGCACATGATACAACTTTGCTTACTGCAAGCAAAGAGGAAAATACTTACTGATGAAGATTAAAAACCAGTCTTCGGTATGGGTTGCACTTCAATGTTACAAAAACAAAAGTCCTCACCACTGGACCAATAAATGACATTCATATAAATGGAGAAAAGATCTAAGTGGTCAAAGAGGCACTCCTTGTGTGCGTTGTAAACTGGACTCCAGTACACACTTGCACTGTTTGGTAACACCTCACATGGAGACCACTATAACTACTCGAGTGTGGGTCACTCAGCTCCCAGGTAAGCAAGCGACACAGGGGAACTGTGATGTGGACCCAGAATTCCAGGCAGAAGGGGCTCAGATTCCTGGGGTAGATGCACAGTGGAAAAATCCACTTGGCTCTACTCACCTCTTTAGCTGCAGTAAAGGCGACCCCAGAAAAGGCATACCGGTCCACAACAAGGGTGATACCCTGCTGCAACTTGTTTCTCATTAAAGGCCTGAAAAGCAGGATGCAGCGTCAGTGTCCCGGCTCCCCACCCCAAACAGCACACGTCAACAACACTGACAGGACACAGGAAAGAACTCCAGCGAAGGCACACGCAGCCTCTTCATACTGTTATTCAAGGCCCCCTTCATGAAAAATTCCTCCAGGCTGCAATGGCGCCAGGCAACTCACAAGAAACAGCTCATCAGGGGAGGGGCCCAGGCTATTTCCCAGCTGTGGGGGGTGGGAAGGCCTGGACTAACAGATACTGAGGAATCGCAGGAGAAAATTACCCACGAAGCAGTGCTGAACCAAAGAAGGCAAGTTAAATTCAGGCCTACTCTGCAAATTTGCCTGGGGACCCAGAGACTTCTGGGAGCCGGGCTGAGCACTGAGGCAGGTGGGGAGGGGACCTACACTTGCTCCCAGCGGTTGGCAGAGAACAGCAGGTGCACAGAGTGATCCTCCACTTCACTTTTTTTCTCCAAGTAGGAACTCAGAAGTTTGCCAATTTCTGTTGACCTTTCTGGAAAACAAAAAAATCATACACAAGTGAAGTGCAGCTTTCCATAGACACTAAGTAGGCCATTTGTGCTGACCCTCTCGTTTTAAATGTCTTAGCTTTGAGGTCAGCTTTACATGGCTAGACTAGCTCAGAGCTTTGCTGTGCACAGAAACCAGGGACTGGAAGTGCTTCGGAAAGGGGGGGTCAGTCCAGGAAAACAGTAATTAACTCAAAGGAAGCATTCATAAGGTGTGTGGATTCCGTTTGAAGATCAGAACCATTTCTTTTTTTTTAGTAACACGTGATTACTGAGATTATATTTTCATATGCATTTTTTCAAGGTCGTATTACTTTAAAAATGTTCCATAAAACCCCTCAGAGTCCAAGCAAAAAATCAAATCCACTGGTAGTAAGTCAATTCCAACTCACAGTAACCTGTCCAGGGCTTCAAAGACTGAAGTTAATAAGGAGATGGCTCATCTGTCTACAGAAGGGCTACTAGTGGGTTTGAACCACCGAACTTGTGGTTAGCACCCCAAAGGCTAATCCAAACAAATAAGAAACGCAGATTGTTAAGGCACAAGGGAAGGTCTGAGAATCTGAGATCTATTCATCCTCTTGATGTTGCTAGCAGTCTTGGAGTGGCACTGTTGAGTAAGCACTGGACTGCTAACCACAAGACTGGCAGCCGATTCTCGGAAACCTTATACAGGGTCGCTATGAGTCGGAATAGATTGGCCGGCACACCATTGCCCTCTGAAAGGGAAACGCGGTGGTACCATATGCTAAGCACTGGCCAGCCGCTGCAGGAGGAAGATGAGGCTTTCTGCTCCTGCAAAGACTTACGGGGTGACTAAGAGTCGGAACGCGCAGTTCATCACACCCACACAGAAGTTAGGAAATACAACACAAGCAGCGTGGCGCCCGAGTGCGTGGTGGAAGGCGGCTACGGTCACTGGGAGTCACAGCCCCTGGGGGCCGCAGCTCATCCGTCTTTCCATCCTGGGAGCCCCGTCCGTCCGTCTGTCCCGAGACCCAAGGTTCGGAGCGGCACCCACCCGGGAAGCGGAGCAGCTCCGCGCGATGACCGGCGGCACACAACGCGGCCACCAGCTTGCGGGCCTGCGTGCTCTTGCCCGCGCGGTCCACGCCCTCCAGCACAATCAGCGCCCCACGGCGGCCCGCCATCACGATTTCCCGCCACTACGCGCTCAGAGGGTCGCCGCTCGTGCGTCACCGCCGCGCGGAGCCTCCATTGGCCAGCGTCCTCGGCGCGCGCTGAAAATGGCTTGCTTTGACAGAGTGCATGACCCTCGGGGGCTACCGTCGTCAGGCCGCGAAAGGACGGAGCTGTGCGCCAGGGTGGAAGACCGGGTTTCGGGGAGGGTGGACTTGGGGTCGCTGCCCTCAGCAGAGGATGCGGCGAGGCGCCGGGAGTGCAGGCTGGCGACCCTGGGCGAGAGGGAGGTCGACGTGGGGTCGTGGCATGACGCTGCTTGTTACGTAGTTCCATGCGTGCGGTCGTGAGCGTGTACCGCTGTGGTCCGTTGCGGAGCGTGGCCCATGTCTTACCCCGTAGTGGACACCGGCCGCGTGACATCTAGGAACAGGATGAGGCTAGTGATTGCCATTATTCCTGAAGTCCACGTTGTTGTTGTTGTTGTTAAGTGCCGTCAAGTCGGTTCCGACCCATAGCGTTATCGAAAGGAAAAAGAGTGGGCCGCTTTACAAAAGCCTGGGACTCCGTCCTGATTCAGTGCTGTTTTCGTCTGTAAAGTCGAGAACACCTAATACTTTTTGTTTTGTTTTCAGTGTAACCGGAAAAAGGCTCCTTCGTCTCCTGCCACGAATATAGTGAACATTCAGACAGGGCTCAGCAGTGTAGCGTTCATTGAGATCAATGCACACGGGGGCAGGCGTCTCCTAAAGAACGATGGAAGAAGGGCTGGGATAGGGATCGCGGGCATGGGGTGGGGCCCCAGGAATTCCAGGGGCTCAGTTGTTGCCTCTTTTATTACAGATTGCGCTGCCCATCGGTCATGTTGTCTCCAACAGGCATCATTAATTTCTCCAGGCTGTCACATTGACTGTGATCCTGATATTCCTCCAGGGGAGTTTAACTACCAATTAAAGTTGTTAAGTGCAGTCCAGTCTGTCCTCACTCAGGAACGTCCTGCCCGCGGGCCTTATGAGTTTGGTCAGGGTCTGCTAAGGCAACGGCAGTTCCAGCCATCACATTGTTGTTAAGTGCCGTTTTGACCCTGTATTGGAGGTTTGCAGTCCAGTGCTGATCCTATAGCCACGCCAGAAATTCAGCCATCTTGTTGTTGTCATGTGCCGTCGAGTCGGTTCCGACCCATAGAGATAGAGACCCTGTACAGGGTTTCCGAGGCTGTAAATCTTTATGGGAGCAGAAAGCTTCCTCTTTCTCCCGTGGAGCGGCTGGTAGTTTCGAACTGCTGACCTTAAGGTTCGCAGCCCGATTGGTAACCATTACGCTACCAGAGCTCCTTATTGTTGTTGAAGTGCCATCAAGTCAGTTTCAACTCATAGCGACCCTGTATTGGGCTTCCAAGGAGCAGCTGGTGGGTTTGAACTGCAGGTCTTGTGGTTCGCACGCAATCCAGCGCTGATTCACTGTGTCACACCACAAGCCCTCTTACTTGTCTTGTCTCATTCAATTACTTTGTGGGAATTACAAGATGAAAGGTGTCAAGGATTTACTTGGATCCACAATGTTCAGGGAAACAGCAGTCAAGAAATCAAATGATATTCACCCATGCAGTGGATGGGTTTATGCGGGGGGCAGGGAAGGACAACAACAATAGCAAGGAAGGGATGCTCACTATGGGATGATCAATCATTTCCATGAGGACAAAGTGGAGAAGGGATGAGAAGATGGATGGAATGCAAATAGGAAGCACAGGGAGGAAGCGGGAAGACTGTCGTTCCATGGAGGGGGATTGCAATCATTGAGATGAAACTGTGTGATTGCTTGAATGTAAAACCGGTGATCTTGTCTGTAAACCTTCAATCAATTCACAATAAAAAGGTTCTTTTAAAAAATCAAATGACATGACATGTTACATTGGACAACTTTGCTGCAAAAAATCTCCAAAATGTAGAGCGACTGTGTGCTGAAGACCTGAGGGGCACCGGGGAAGGATTGCATGGAGGGGATTGTAACCATGGCAATGAGACGATATACGATGGAATGAATGTAAAAGTAATATTCTCCCATGTAAACTATCACATAATTCACAATAAATCATTAAAAAAAAAAAAATCTCCAAAATGTTCAAGAGCAAAGGTGTCACTTTGAGGACTAAGACTAACTTGACCCATGCCATCTAGTATTTTCAATTGCCTCATTTACATGTGAAACAAGACAATAAGAAAGATCTTAAAAGAATGGGTGCATTTCAGTTCTGGTGTTATGGAAGAATATTGAAAGTACCATGGACTGCCAGAAGAACAAACTAATGTGTCATGGAAGTGGTACAGCCAGAATGTCCCCTAAAAGACAATGGTGAGATTTTGTCTCACATACGTTGGACCTGTTGCTAGGAGCTACCGTTCCCTGGGAAAGGGCAGCATCCTTGGTGTCTTGGTTCTCTGGTGCTTCTATAACAGAAACACCACAAGTGGGTGGTTTTAGCAATCAGATTTTATTCTCTCACAATTTACGAGGAGGCTAGAAGACCAAATGCAGAGTGGCAGCCGTGGGGAAGGCTTTGTTGGATCTGTGGAAAGGCCCTAGTCTCTCTTCAGCATCTATAGGCCCAGTGTTCCTTGGAGATCCCCTGGATCTAGGAGCTTCACAGTGCAGGACCCCAATGCTAAGTGACTCAGTTCATTAGCTCTCTTCCTTCTTTTCCTTCCTTTTATTTATCTTGTTTAAACTTTATTATTAATTGAGTGAAGGTATACAGAGCAAACCAGTTTTACAATAAACAAATCATATATTACATTTCCTTATTATATTTTATTATTATACTATATAGTATTATACATGGTTGCAAATCCCTCCCTATACAGACAGTTAATGTTGCCAAACCAAAACGAGGGTTTGTTGCCTGTCACTGTAGTCAATCACAGAAATGGGGAAAGATACAATCCAAGCTTAAACGAGCACAAAGCCAGCAGTCAGGAGGACAGAGAGAAGCATTTCTCAAGACCGTCCTGTCTTTCACAAAGAGCAGGTCCATTATATAGGGTCAGTTACATTTGTATGTACACTTCATCTATTTTACCATCAACAAATCAAATTTCCTCATTCTACCTTCAAGGTCTCAGGGGCTTCATTCCTCAGGTAACTGTCTGGGTGGGTTTAGGCACACCCTATTCTCCTTGTTGTGGGATGACAACAAGAACATCATACAAGAAAAAAGCAAAAAGTCATTAAGAAGACAAGAAAGAAGGAAAACATTCAAAATGGAGGTCAGAAGAGACACTGAAACTTGCTCTCCAGCATAGAGATGCTAAAGCAAATAGAAGAAATGAGGAGGTCCAAGAGCTGAACATAAATTTTCAAAGGTCAGCTCGAGAAGACAAAGCCAAATATTACAATGAAATGTGCAAAGATCTGGACTCAGAAAACCAAAAGGGAAGGGGATACGCTCAGCATTTCTCAAGCTGGGGGAACTGAAGAAAAAATTAAAACCTTGACTTTCATTATTGAAGGATTCTCTGGGCAAATTATTGAATGATGCAGAAAGCATCAAAAGAAGATGGAAGAAATACAGACAGTCACTGTACCAAAAGGAAATGGCTGATGTGAAACCATTTCAAGAGGTAGCATATGATCAAGAGCCAATGATATTGACGGAAGAAATCCAAGGTGCATTGAAGGAATTAGCAAAGAACAAGGTACCAAGAATTGATGGAATAAAAATTGAGATCTTTCAAGAAAATGAGGCGGCACAGGAGGCACTCACTCATCTCTGCCAAGAAATTTAGAAGACAGCTAGCTATCTGGCCAACTGATTGGAAGAGATCCTTATTTGTGCCCATTCCAAAGAGAGGTGACCCAATGGAATGCGGAAATAATCAGACAATCTCTTTGATATCTCAAGCAAGTCAAGTTTTACTAAAGGTAATACAGAAACAGCTGCAAGCATACACTGACAGAGAACTTTCAGAGGTTGAGGCCAAATTCAGAAGAGGCCGTGGATTGAGGGATATAATTGCTGATGTCCGATGGACCTTGGCTGAAAGCAGAGAATATCAGAAAGATGCTTACCTGTGCTTTATTGACTACACAAAGGTTTTTGATTGTGTGGATCATGACAACCTATGGACAACATTGTGAAGTATGAGTATTCTGGAACACTTAATATGTGCTCATGAGGAATCTGTACCTGGACCAAGAGGCAGTTGTTCGAACAGAATGGTTTCAAATTAAGAAAGGTGTGTAACAAGGTTGTATTCTTTCACCATATTTATTCAACCTGTATGCTGAGCAAATAATCTGAGACGCTGGGTTCTATGAAGAAAAATGTGGCATCAAGACTGGAGGAAGACTCATTAACAACCTGCGATATGCAGATGACACACCTTGCTTGCTGAAAGTGAAGAGGACTTAAAATACTTACTGATGAAGATCAAAGAGCACAGCCTTTGGTATGGATTGCGTCTCAATGTAAAGAAAACCAAAATCCTCACCACTGTGCCAATAAACAACATTCTTATCAATGGAGAAAAGATTGAAGTTGTCAAGGACTTTGTTCTTCTTGAATCAACTATCAACACTCACGGAAGCAGTAGTGAAGAAATCAGAGGACGTAATGCATTACGCAAATCTTCTACACAAGACCTTTCTAAAGTGTTGAAGAGCAAAGATGTCAGCTTGAGAACTAAGGTGCTCCTGACCCAAGCCTTGGTATTTTCAATAACCTCATATGCATGTGAAAGCTGGGCAGTGAATAAGGAAGACCATAGAAGAATTGATGCCTTTGAGTTACGGTGTTGGAGGAGAATATTGAAAGTGCCATGGGCTGCCAAATGAACCAACAGATCTGTGTCGGAAGAAGTGCAGCCAGAGTGCTCTTTGGAGGCCACAATGACCAGACTTTGTCTCTCATACCCGGGAAATATTGTCAGGAGGGACCAGTCACTGGAGAAGGATATCATGTTTGGTAAGGTGGAGGGTCAGAGAAAAAGAGGAAGACCCCCAGCGAGATGGATTG